AGGCACCGCGACTATAAATAGAGCGGTAGCGGAGTAATCGTCGGATTCACTCCCCGCCTCTCGACGCGTTAGTGTTCTGAGCTGTTGGACGTGAATCCCTGTCCTGGCATTTGGTTTTCACCTCTGGCTGCGTTGAGTAGTTGAGTTACTGTGACCAAATGCCCATCTTGGTAGTTATATTCGCCTCTGGTTGCGTTGAGTAACTGAGTTACCGTTGCTAACTACCCATCTTCCTGTTATTCTTTGTTTTCTTTTTTCTTTTTCTTTGATCTCCTGAAGAAGCTAACATACAATTGTAGCGAAACGTCGAGATGAACCCACTTTTGGGTCACTCACAAATGACACGGTCCAAACCCGGAAGACGAATAAACTATAATATTTTTATTTTTCCATCAAAGTATTAATCTGGTAGATATTTTAACGTTTACCAATAATTATTGTGAGTTGGTCATGATTGATTTGTCAGAAACTGACAGTTTGACATTAATATTTATTAATTCAGTATTGGGGTACACCGTAAATTAGCAACAATTATTATTTAGTAATTCAGTAATTGATTCAATTTAAATTAGCAATAATGAATTTTACTACTGATGAAATGGTAGATATGATCTGGATATTGGGGGAATGCAATAAAAATTCATTACTATCAACTAGAATTTATCAAGAACGGTTTCCAGATAGGCGACAACCTAGACAAGATACATTTTTGAAAAATTGAAAGATCGATTTAACCGCACTGGTTCAGTGAATTATGAAAAACATGAACGAACAAAAACTAGTGTGACAGAGGAAAACGAAATGAGTGTGTTGATGGCGGTTACAGAAAATCCACACACAAGCATAAGGACTATTTCCAATGAACAAGAACTTAGTTACTACTCTGTTCAAAACACTCTATCTAAAAACAAGATGCACCCTTATCATATTCAAAAGCACCAAGAATTAATTAATGATGATTTTCAGAAACGAATAGTATTTTGTGAATGGGCCTTAGAAAAAATTAATGAGCAGAGAGATTATGTCCTATTTGGTGATGAAGCTACATTCCATCGAAACGGTTCTTTTAATAGGCATAACTTTCACTACTACTCAACAAGTAATCCATACCACATAGTAACACATAGTCAAACAAGATGGTCTCTAAATGTGTGGGGAGGTATCGTCGTTAACCATGTAGTAGGACCAAATTTCTTTGAAGATAATTTAAATGGTGAGATTTATTTAGATTTTATCGTAAATCAGTTACCGATACTGTTCGAAGAGGTTCCACTTAATATACGTGAAAAAATGTGGTTTCTACATGACGGTGCTCCTGCGCACCACAACGAATTAGTACGTGGTAAACTTAATAATCGGTTTGGGGAAAGATGGATCGGAAGGGATGGACCGGTAAGGTGGCCCCCAAGGTCACCAGAATTCAATAAAATGGACTCATTTTTTGGGGTTACGTTAAGAACGAAGTATATAAAATACCCCCAACAACAAGGGATGATATGAAAAATAGAATCCGAATTGCATTTCAAAATATTTCTTTACAAATGCTTAGTAATGTAACCAACTCTTTCAATGACCGTTTTCAAGCATACATAGATGTTTTGGGAAGTCATTTTTGAACACCTTACTTACACTTAAGATTAAACTTACTGATGTTTTTAATTTTTCTATGTGTTGTTATATATTTTTTTTTATTTTCCGTCGGTTATTTTTTATAAATTTTATTTTAAATAAATTGTTTTCTTTCTGTGTCGTTATTTCGTTACTAAATTATTAAACAGTAATGTCAAACTGTCAGTTTTTGACAAATCAATCATAACCAACTCACAATAATTATATTGTGAGTTGGTAAACGTTAAAATATCTACCAAATTAATACTTTGATGAAAAAATAATATTATCTAGAAAACTGATAACTTTAGGTATAGGGAGTACTTTATAAAATTTGAAGTACGATATTATTACTTTTTGATAGTGATATAAAATACAGGGTGTTCTATTTAAAATTACCAAGAAAATAATGTATTTGCATTTTGACTTACCCTGTATTTGATTTAACGAATATTATAGAAACGAATATGTTTTATAATTTTTAACAATTATTTAAAACTATGGTTGCAATGGATCAATGTTCCTATACTCCTTTTTATTTGGAGAGGGAGTTAAACTTGATACGATTTTCAGGTAATATTGGTTATAACTTTTTAGATACCCGGTATAATATAATAAAACTTTACATTGTTGTGATGTGGAAGTGAAGCCGATTTTAAATTTAAAATAAAATACAGGTGTTCCATTTAAAAAAACATAAGTTTGGTATGCCACCATCTTATGGAACACCCTGTAAGATTGTAACTAATTTTAAAATGTGGAGTTTAAAGCTACCTACAATTTTTGTTAATAACTTTTTTTAATAATTTTTACTATAACAGATCTACTGAGCTTCCTCACACTAATCAATCACCCTGTATATCTCACACTACTGGTCACAAAACGAATCACTTTCGAATTGCCTCATATAAAAAAGGTATTTCAAGAGATCGCTGTTTTTTCCTGCTAAAAGTGGTTTCTTGTTCGAAATAAACTTTTGTAAAGGCAAGGACTGAGAGTTTCCATCAGTCCATCGACAAATCAATGACTAAGATCAAAGGAAAATTTGTCCTGAAGCAGTATCTTCCTATGAAGCCAGGAAAAACACTAATAAAAATGTGGCTACGAAGTGATTCTTTCTAGGGATCAATAAATATTATTAAAGTCATTTTTAATAGTTTTATTTAGATACAATGAAATCAGTAATAAAAGGGTTAAAGTCAGAGTTATCTGGATAATATCGAGATTATCCATTTTCGAAGTTTAACAGTAACATAGATATGGTTGAAGTATTTATAAGTTGAATTTGGGAAGATGGATAATTATATTTTATTTTTCTAAAAAAAGCTTTAATAACAATATTGATGTTAATTTTAATTTTATCGTATAATTTTACTCTTATTGTGATTGGCCTACATTTAAAATGCAACTAAAATAATGTTGTTGCCATAAACATCAGTTAAATTTTATTAGTCAATGACTTAGATATAAAATAAACATACATGTTTATTTTTAATATATAATGGTTTGTTTAAACAAACAAAACAATAACAGAAAACATGCATTGCATTGCATTGCATATTAGGTGTTTAAAAAAGATTATTTAGAATTTTATTAAAAATAAAAAAGTGTTTCTTGTCAATAAAATTCTACATAATCTTTTTAAAATGAAAAATTTCATTTAGGTGACATTGAGATCATTAAATAATAGAATAAATAAACACCAAAAAGATTTGTAGATCGCATATCCGCAAATACAGGTGGGACAATCCGTGAAAAAAAGAGGAAGCGTATACGAGAGAAGAAATAAAGACATAGGAAAGAAACATTTTTAGAAAAAAACGTACGAGTACGAAAGAGAAACACATATATTATACTTTTCCTAGACTTAAAGTATACGTTTGAGAAACAAAACAGAAGAAAAATAATCCAAGACTTATAAGAGAGATATACCAAATAAAATTGAGATTGATATAAATGACAATGCAAGATTCCCAAGCAATAATAGACATCGGAAGAGAAAGAACAGAATTAACCAAAATAAAAATGGAGTAAGACAAGGAGATGCAGTACTATTTATTCTATTACTAGACAAGATAATAAAAAAGCTGTCAAACGCAGGAACTACAAACAAAAATTCAGTACAAATAATAGGATATGAAAACGATAGAACCAGAGTAGCAACAGATAAAAGGCATTACAGAAAACCTTCCAAGAAATAGAAAACGAAGCCAAACTAAGAGGACTGAAAATAAATGAATTTAAAAACACAATACATGAATGTAAGCAAGAAAAAGAAGACACAAATGACAGAATTGACAATAGATGCACACAGTTTCCACGAGGGTAATCTATTCAAATATTTGGGAGTGCTAGTCAACACAAGAAATGAAAGTGTAGATATAAATAGAACAATTCAAGCGGGAAATACAGAATCCAGAAAACAAATCCAAATGTATGGAAACAAGAAAATAAACCGAAAACGAAAATCTACAAAACGACCATAAGACCAATAGTATATGCTGAATAATCATTTACATTAACAGCAAGAAAAGAAGAGTAATTAAAAAGTTTTTAAGAGCAAGAATATCAGAAAAATACTGGGATCAAAGAGGGAAAACGAAGAGAATGTAAGACAATAGACGAATCACGAAATACAAAAATGTCAAGAGAACATAGTTAGAACAATAAAAGAAGAAAGAATTAGGGTACAGACACAAAACGAGAAGAGAGAAAAGCAATCCAGCAAAAGAGTTATAATGAAATGGATACCACCAGGTAAAAGAACGAGAGGCAGACCTAAACTGAGATGTAACAACAAGTGGAAGAAGACTTAATCAGAATGAAAATATAGAAATGGCAATCAAGAGAGATAAAATGAAGAAAAGTAGTGGAAAACAGCGTCGCACCAGAAACTGTTGAACCAAACCCAGAATGGGATGGTCCGCCACACAAAAAGGATCTTCAAGTGAAAACAGCTTCACTACGAAAAATCTATTATAGTGCTGTGTAAGAGTCAGTGGACGAAGTCACTGATTCCAAATTTGAGAAGATGTATGGACTATGGGCTTCGGTGTCTGGATTACTTCTTGATGAAATTCAGTGATATGTCAAAAAAACGCTAAAGGGAAAGAAATAGGAAGAAAGCCAACACGACTGGTGAGCAAGCTGGATGGTTGGAGAAAGTAAGAAGCTTCGAAATCAAACATCAATAGGGAAAAATTGAGACATTATTAGAGCTATTAGAGCAATGTTTTTATTTCCAAGTAGTAATGAACAGACAAATTTGTTAATTTTTTTCAAAATTTATATTTTTAAATGTATTTTTTCATTTCATCAGTTAAATAGCACTATGATAGTAAAAGAGACGTTATTAACCAAACTAGTTGCAGATATTAATAAAAATCACTTACGTAATTCATTTAATCCAAGACCCACCGAACTTAGTTGCAAAATCACGATTATAGTCCAAATTGTGATGCCAAGTTTGTACATGGTGACTCACTGCATCTATTTAAAAATCATAAATATGCACTTGATATTATTATATAATTATTGTTTACCAAAAATGCATTAACAACAAATCAACAATTACCAGCCACACATCGTACAGTATTTTGTTTAACTGACATGATTCCAAAGTGTCAGCAATTATTATTTGCTAGATCTTCACGTAGAAATAAAAGGAGAGGGTAATTATTAGCTAATAAACAAATTAAATATTAGAAATATTTTGACAAGAATATAAAAACGAATAATTATTTACGCTGCTGTAAAGATATTACAAATTCGAAATATTTATAGAATCATCTATTTAATAGAAATTTTTAAATGGTATTGACCACATTTACTATCAACTAAATTGTTGTTGCCAGGGTGTTCTATTTCTTTACATTTCTTTCCAGCGTTCTTTTTGTACTAGATTTACTACTTACCGGTTAAATTTTGGAATTTAATCTTATTTTTTTATGTAAAATTATTGCATCCCCTATAAAAAGGATTATCAGCGGATTTTGAAAAAATTATTTACATGTAGTGTAATCGGGCCATTGATGAAAGTTCATTTTCAATCAATAAAACCCTGAAAACTTTTGTTTTCAACATTTTCACATTGGAAGCCCTTTTGTGTTCTGCCATCTGTTTGTTAACGGTTCTATCCGCTTGACTGATGTAAGTTTTTGGGCAGTCGCCATATTGAAGTTTGTATACTCCACTGTGTAAATTGTTTTTCTTTTGGCTCTTATTGTTCTTAATATATTTGCTTAAGCTGTTTTTTGTTCTCTTAAGTTGTTGTTTATTCTTTGTTTCAATAATAGAAAAACATGTTCTATTGAACGCACTTCACCTTTTAGATCATAAAAAATTCTGTTAATAACCAATACAACAAATTAAAAAATACATATATAATTCTGAATGACCAATTTGAGACAAACAATTCTCTTCTCCTCAACTTATTCAGTTAAAGATTATAAGTGTGAAACGCATAACAAAAATAGCTCACTTATGAAAGGCATTCTACCGAAACATAAATAAAAACAATATGGATAAGACGAACCGATTAGTCTAGATTGTTCTTTAGATACTGCTGTTAAAGTTAAAATCGTTAGCCACATAAAAAAAACTACAAAAAGCAGGCTTTGCACCAACCAGAACTGAAGTAAGAATCATGGCCTTTAATTTAGCTTAGCGTTTAGAAATCCCAAATAAATTTATTATAGAAGAAGGTAAATTTTTAAATTCATAAATCTGATACAAGATCTTATACAAGTTACTTATTGTCTACTTTGAGGTAGAGCTGGTAAAAAAGGTTAGTTAACTCTTTTTGAAACGAAGACATGAAATTTCAATTAGAAAAGCTGAGAACACCTCAATTGCACGAGCTTTAGGAATGTCCAAAAAAACAATTGATAACTACTTTTCTGATCTCGAGGGAATTATGACCGTATATACTTTTTATGATAAATCCGGACACATATTTATTACTGATGAAATAGGATCGCTAGTGATAATTTTGCTGTTTGCACAGTATTTTGGTATTCGTGAAATCGATACTGTGTTTAGTTAAAATGGCATGTTGTGCAAAGGTACAAGATGGTTTAGAAATCCTAATTTCGCTTTAGCGGGACATTAGTCGACCATTAAGAGAGCGGCTGGTCTGGTCAATGTACAGGAGTTGCACTCTGCACAGAGTACATGATAGATGACATTAGTTTGTTCTAGAGGGGCCAATGGAGTTTTTGTCTTCGAAAATAACTTTCCCAATGTTTTGGTGTTTCTAAAGCTATTTTAACATGTAAGTTTTTGAATAGTTTGTTAAGCTTGTTAGCGATTTCTGGGAAGTACAGGAGCGAAGCATATTTTGTGGTTTGTTCAGGAGTGAGAGGGGACTTATTCATCTGTATTTTGTTAGATATAGACGCTAATGTTAGCCCGTTGGGTGTTTCAGTAATGGACTGCCCATAGTTTTTGAAATATAGAAATTTATTGATGATGGATGCCGAATAGGAGGCATCCTACCACCAGGATGCCGAAGATAGAAAAACGTGGAGGAACATTGGAAAAATTACCTAACAGCTTCATGATATCACGATACCTGCATCAGGTTTACGACTAAGAAGAAGAAGCCGAATAGGAGTTATATATGAGAATAGATTTCTCATAGATCTTCTCTATTTGTAGTGAACTGATGATATTTTTAAAAATAAAAGCGAAACCTATTTAAGTAAATCAATGAAGTGGTTGACGACTTTCATTTGCCAAATATAGTGAAGTGTAGTTTTTCAAATTTTGCTATGAAAATGTGTCAAAAACTTCTGATTTCCTATTAAAAATTAAATTATTGTTCCAAGTATATAACTGCAAAAGTTATTCGTTCCAATCATAACCAATTATAAATCGACAACACCCAAAACTCAATAAATTTGGGACAGGTTTGTTACTCCTCTTATCAGTAAAACTAGTTCTTACATTTTTATTGGTAAATCAATTATTTTGGGAACGACTGTGAATTACTAGTCATACCACTAACGAATAGCTGTTAAATGTATTGTTTTTTTGCAGGTGTGTGAGTAAAGCTAAAATATTATTTGATAAAGCATTAAACCAATAGAAAAGGAATGTGCGTTTAAGAGGTGTAACTTTATTATAATTATAGAAATTGTACAAAAAAAATCCTGATGTCTCAGCAAGATTGTTTAAGAAAATAAGTGAGATGTCATATGTGCTAGAAGTAATATTTTTTAGACTGTCTAGAGAGTAATGAATTTCTTTAAGAGCCATGCTTTTATTTACGAGTAATTTGATGTTGATGACGCACTGCAAATTTAAAAGGCTTTTTCGTGAGTTTTCTATTAAACAAAATTTAGGTTTATGTTGCTGTCATGAACAGTTTAGTTGTAGTTTATTGTCAGCTTTAATTTCTCTTAAATTGAATAACCTTCTTGTATTCAATTATAATAAACATTTCGTAACAAGAGGCAACAGAAGTTGTACAACTTCTAGTAATTAAATTTACACTAACAAAATTCACAAAAAATCAAAAAAATGTATAAAATTTACTTTTGCACTTGCAATTGACAATACAAAATTTATTAAACAGACTTTTCATCATTTTTTATACTAATCTAACATCCTTTTAGATTAAAAATCATTCAAAGCCGAAAGAATCTTACTAGTATCATTGACAAATTGTTTGTTGGTCTAGATAAATTTGATATATACAGGAAATATATGTTGATAGACGGTACATATTTTTTCTGCATTTCAGTTGTTATTGATTATATTAACAGTGAGTAAAGAAAAATGTTCCAAGAATGCAGTGTAGTGTTTTTATGTTTTGCGATTGTGCAAGCCAAAATGTATAATCAGTCTAATATAGGTAAATATAATTTTCAGCTAGTACATTTTATACAAAAACTTTTAATTAAAAAAATAACAAGTACATTTGTTCTAATTATAATACAAGGATCAAATAAGTTCTGGGTTTAGTAGTGAAAAAATGAGTTTGTTCTTTGAATGAACAGGAAAAATGAGCGTTTTTTCTTCTTTTTCTCCATTTCAGAGTTACGCATCTAATGCCTTTTTAAAAGAGACCTCTTAAACCTCTTTTCCTTTTTCGTTTGTGATTAGTTTGGGTTGATATTTTCTTTTTCTTGTTAAGGGACTCATAAACTGTTTTAACATTTAACAATAACTAATTTAACAAACTTTTTTAACATTAATCTGTTTTTTTTTAAGGAAATACTCTTATAACAGATTTTGAAAATGTTGTCAAAGGGTTTTGTTTCCAAAAATGTCTTAACATTTATGAGTCGAAATTCTGAAGAAACAAAATCTGGTGAACTGGGAGGATATTTAAAAAATGATACCTCAAATTATCCTATTTTTCCAATAACAAACCAAATTTGTGGCTGGTGCATTGTATGGGTGAAAGAGTATTTCTGAAGCTTCCTTTCTGCTGTTATATTTTTTGATTGTCCGATTGTTACTATTTGGCTTCTAGTCTATATATTTTTAATTGCTAACCAGATCGTCTCTATATATATTGAATAATAAAGGTGACTTAGTGTATTCTGTTTTACACCATGGTTTATTTTAAGTTGATCGAACACTATCAAGTTTCTTTTTACAGCCATATCTCTTTATCAACTTATGCCAACCTTTATCCATCTGTCTTTGTCCTGCACCTATCTCGTCCACTCTTCAACACTGCTTTTATGTAGTCTATCCCATATCTCTCCTGGTCTCCATTCCAGGATTCTCAGTGCTCGCATGTTACCGTCTTGTCTGACTATGTTGCAAGCCTATCACTATTTACCTTTTACCACCTCCTTTACGATGTCTCTGACTTTTATTCTCGGTCTTATATGGGTAATTTTAATCTTGTCTCAGAGTGACACTTTAAGCATACTTCATTTCATTATTGTTTGTGTTGTTTTTACCTTTTTAAACCTTTATGATAAGCTTGACATGCTTGCTCCAACCCTTTTGTGTGAATTAAGGAGGGAGGAGGAAATTGGTGACTGTTCAATCTCAGTTTTTTTAGCTAGTTAGTAGATAAATAGGAATGATCGATCGTTTAACTAAACCTGTAGTAAATACACATTCAATTATTTTGGTTTGATTGATTTATTTCAATTTGTTTTTAGATCTTTCGAAATGCAAGACGCACTACTCACGTTCTGGAAGTGTCTACAAAGATTTCTACAGTATTTCTGAGACTCCCAGTGCAAACGACACTCTTCTTCTGGACTTTCATTTCTCAGTCTTAGCTCCCAGTGATGCACATATCCTTCTAGCCTCATCCGACAAAGTTCAAAAAACAGATCCGGCTTACGAGATCGTTATCGGTGCCGGAGGAAATACGTTTTGCGATATAAGAAGAAAGCAGAAGTCTGATGTCAAGTCTTCCCTAAGGGTGAAGGGGTTGTTGAATGCGCTGGATCCTCAGTCTTTTTGGCTTCATATCACGAAAGGTAAGTAATATATAAGTCAAGTCTAATACTACTCAACATATTTATAAAAAAATATATTAAAAATTCAGATTGACGACATACAACACATTACGATAATATTCGTCGCTGGAATAATACGATTTTTTTAAATTCAT